AGTCACTGGGTCTGGGGCTTAAAGCCACGTGATCAAGCCATATGGGGTCAAGCTCTCTTAATCACCAGACCATGGGCTGGCCCAGTTTACCATAAGCTTTTCAAGAAATGTAACTAATGAATGTATACATAGATGTCAGAACAGTCTCTAATTATTAACTATATTACTGTTCTCATAAAGCAATGTTTTTAGTTAAAAATATTTTCCTGTTGAGCACATGTTTTCTTCCATACACCTATAGGGTATTTGTTCACAAGAGATGTCTTCTATGTATAATTGAGACCACATTTGGCAGAATCAGAAGCGAAGGTGTTGGGAATGAGTGTATTTGTGTCTGTCTCCACAACAGTCTTCAAACAAGCATGCAACTTGTCTGCAGACTGATGCTTCCACATCTTTGACAATATCTCTACATGTCTCCTGACAATATAAATTTAGAAAGAAATGCAACTTTGCTTGTTACTGCAGTGTTTTCCAGGCATTATTTCAGCCAAATAAAACATAGCAGGTGAGGGTTTGTGATAGTTTAGCCTTTTACTGTTATCAAACCCTCAAGTTTATTTTGATTACTTTTAATTTAGTTCAACTTTATTAATGTACACGTAAATGAAGAGTGTATAAATGCAGCGTGATGTTTTAGTGACATAGTTACTATAACCAAGCTAATTAGCATAACCAGCACTGCACACAGTAGGGCTTGGTGTGGCGAGAGCATTTCAGATCAACTCGCTTATGTAATTTCAAGCAGAAAAGACAAATTATTAGAGTCACTCTGCGGTATGTCGGATTTCCAGAATTTATTCATTCTGAATAACTGAACCTTGATACCCTTTGGACAACCGCTCCCCACTCTGAGCCCCTTCCCACGAGATCCCACTTCTGGGGATATGACCACAGACAGCAAAATCAGTAACGTGCAGAGGTGTCCACACTCCCACGACCATCACCGCATCACTCACCACAGCCAAGACTGGAATAACAACCGTGAGTGAGTGTGGACGAACAGCGAACATACTACATAGAGACATGGCATACGTATATAGCATATTTATAACGGCATACTATTCGCCTTTCATGTGGAGGAACCACTATCATGTTCAGTAAGATAGACTAACCTGTGGGATATTGTGCTAAGTTAAATAAGTCAGGCATGGAAAGACAAATACATCATCTTACACATAGGTAGAATCTAAAATTGTCAGACTTGTAGAAAAGCAGAATCGAATGTTGGTCGCAAGACAAGTTCCTAAATTCAATATTACAGTGACGTTGTATAAAGTGCTGCATCAAACCGTTACGTGTTCTAGCGTAGGTGCTGACAGAGGCTGGCTGCGTTACATACGTGAGCAACACCTGTTCTGTTTCCACGTCGGAGAGGCACAGGGGCCCCAGGTCATTGCAGCAGAGTTGTGGGGTCGGTGTTCAAAGACCTTCCCGCTCTTTTCTCACGGTCAAGTCGACTTTTATGGGAATTTCTGTTGTTTAATGTTAGGTAAAGCAGCCAAATGACAACTGAACAAATACTGCCTGTTCCAAACAAAACACACCTGGCTAGCTGGCCAGCCATACACACCCCGTGGGATACCTTACACACTCGCATTTGTCAGCTCAACTAGGCCTGCCCTCTCTCTGGGGGCCCCGGGATGGTGACTGGAATGGATTCTCTCTCTAAGACATGGTGGTCAGCTCCCGACAACGTGGGTCTGCTTCCTGCCTCATTGTTTGCTGGAAATTCAGGTATGTATAGTTACCCAGAAACGTGTTTTTCTGCTTTCTTCAGTATGTATTCACAATTTGCTTCTCATTTTTTCAGCTTCGTAGGCCACTTGTATTAGAGCAATGGATTCATTTTTTGATTCTGTATTTATGTAGTTTTTAAGCATTTTTCCTATATCTTAATAATAATAACTTAGATTATTACTGTTATCATTTTAAGTTTTTGCCATAGGGCACGGCAGAGGAGAAAGACAGAGAGAGGGGAAGAGAAATCATGCCCCCTGCCCCAGGGTGGATGACTACACTGCAATCCCTTCTCCTCTGTTCTCCTCTCAAAATTTTGGGTACACACACATGCCTGGCATACTTTTCAAGTGAATAGATCTGGTATTCGAATCATGGTCACTTAGTAATTATTTTCATTGCTACCTAAGGCCTCCTGGCCATTAATTATATTCCCTATGTTGAGAGGTAAAAGTTTTACCATGGAGCTCTTTCACGATGATCAATATATACATTTAATTATATCTTACACACGCAATTTGTTTCTGCCTACTGTTACTGAATTGTACGGTTTGAATTAGATCATTTGATTCGAGGATAAATTACAATAACAGGAATATAAAAGAATCAAGGTTTCCAGTAGAGTTGATAAAAAAAGTCTTTTTTTTTTATATATCCTCCAAATTTCAGTGCAAAATGCAGGGTATTTTTGAGCTGAAAACGCCAGTCACATGGGCCTTCAAAATTACAACAGCGTAAGGTGTGGTGTGAGCTCTTCGTTGGCGCCACGTAAGGGAGTCACAGTTCCTTTCCTGACAATTGTTAGTGGCACTGACTCTGCTGTTCTGCGGCCTGGCACGGTTAGTGGGATGGAACAAAAACAATCAACAATTACTTTTAGAACTACATGCCCTGCTTTGGCAGGGTGGAGAATGCAGTTGTCAGGTTTTCTTGAGAACAAATCTCAAGGGCCTCTTCCAATACTTTCTACAATTTCGTAGGACAGCTCTGGTACTGTGCAGTCAGAAGCTGTTTCATACCAGGCTGGGAAAATCTGCCATTGAGTAAAGCCTTGATATAGCAGTGATTTCTCCAAATGCTTACTTCTTTTGAATGTAAGTGGCCAAGAAAATTTCTGGTTTCAGTAACATTTTAATTCCTTTATTAAAATACTGACTTTGGGGGGCCAGAAGATGGTGTAGTGGTTACGTCAGTGGATTTCTGCATGGCCTATTGCGGTTTGAGTCCCAGACCCAGGGGCATGAAAATCATGCGAGGCACGTGTGTGTGTGTGTGTGTGTGTGTGTGCAAGATCCTGGGAGAAGAATGGAGAACAGATTGCAGCGTGGCCATTCCCCTATCGCTTTCCCTCTCACTGTCTTTGTCTTTGCCTTTCTCTGGTAAGCACACTTACCCTAAGGCAAAAAACTACAAACAAAAATTTAAAAACCTTTTTAAAAAAATTGATAAATGCATAGCATTAAAGAAATAAGTGAGGGGGGGGGCGAGCAGATGGTTTGATAGTTAAGACGCTGGACTCCCACATGGTTGACCATGGTTTGAGACCTGGACCTGGAGGTTTGCTTTCTCACTTTCCTTCTTTTTCTCTCTCTGTGTGTCTCGTGGGGGTGATTGTCTCTCTCTGTCCCCCATGAAGGGTGATTTCTCATTTTCTGTCTCTGGGGGGTGATTATCTCTCTCTGTCCCCTGCAAAGGGTGATTTCTTGTTTTCCATCTCTCTCTGTCTCTCTGGTGAGTCCATGTGCCCTATAGCAAAAATCTCTCTAAAAAAATAATAAAAATGAAAAATGAAAAGTGAAAAGTGTTTATGAGAAAAGCGAGCATCATTCACTACCCTTCTCCAAGAGTTTTATTTTGTAAGAACTTTTCTGCACACATGTGTACATGCCCACAGAAATGTTGAATTCTTTTTCCTCTATTTTTTTGAGTTTTTAGTGAAGACTCCAAACTGAAAATAAAGTTGAAATATTTAGTTTCCTTAGACATATCTATTCTGGATAATTAAACTTAAGAGAACTAGTGTACTAACTATCAATTGCAACTTCCCACCTTCAGGATATATGAAAACAAACTAGATTTTGACAGGAGATTAAAGAAAATCCGGATGACAGAGGGCGGGGAGGGTGGGGTCTAGTGGAGGGGTGTGTGTCTTTTCTCTGTTGTACTCTCTAATCAGATCAAGCAGTGCGTTATCTCTGGAAAACACTCAGACTTATCGGGAGGGATCTGCAAGAACGGAAGGTTAGCAACTCGCTCTGTGTGGGTGTTTCCCAGATGAGACTGGTTCTGCCGTAAGGCCAGGCCTAGGTTTGCTGAGAAAGTTCCTAAGGAAAATCACCATCCATCCGCTGGAGACAGGGAGCACACACAGACAGGGATACAGAAGCCTGTTTCCTGCTGGAAGCATCCTGAAGGCAGGGTAAAGAGAGGGAGCAGCAGTGGAAGAAGCCTCACCACCGCACAGCGCGGGAAAATGTGTGGTTTGTCAGAAGCCAATTGACACCTAGAAGGAGGTTTGACTTGAAATATCTCAATACTCTCCTCCCCCCCAATTAGCTGAGGATGGTGATGAGAAGACTCTAGCAATGCGATGCTTGGGAGTATCTCAGTAGGGGCCTCATGAGAAAAAGTTTCCCAGGAGTTCAAGTGCAGGAGGCAGGCTGGGGCCAGGAATTAGGCAGTGCACAGGTTTTCGTGGAAGAGCAAGAAAACCACCCCACATTGTTAGCTCTTGGCCGCCTGCTACACTGACACCTGTTGTGGGTGGACTTTATCAGCCACATTACAGACCTTATTCTCATTTCCTCCAGTCCTACCTCTGACAGTGGTTGAGAACTTGAAGCAGCAGAGTCAGCAGGGGGTGGAGAAGAGGAAGTACAATAGAGCAGAGAACAGAGGGACACAGCCTCCCGCTAGTTCCCGTGGCATGTTGGCAAGCCATTATCCCACTTGAGCAGGGAACATGGGAGAAGTGTTACCTTAGATGTGGTTTGGACAATCTATAGACGATGTTTGTATGTGAAAACAAGTCCGTATTATTTTAAAAAGACTTTTCTCATGAACTTGAAGTTACCCGAAATATATAGGATCTTCCTGTAAGGGAAAGGGCACGATGAAGTCAGAAGCAGAAAGCGGTCCTGTTTTACCCATTGTTAACCTAGCCATGTGCCATTCGTGAATGTAGAGCAATTCTCTGTGTATATTTCCTATTTGTGGCTCTCTGCACTTTTCTTTCACCCTTTCTGTATTGGGTACCTCCTAAGTGGGTATACTGTTTTAATTGGGTAATGCTAGCTGCTGCAATAAGGAAATCCCCAAATCTCAGGGCTTTGCTCCTTAGAAGTTTATTCTTCAGTCATTCAGCAACAGGCTCTCCCCTAAGAGGTTATTTCAGGCCCCGGGCTCATCCTTACAAGATTTGCATATTGAACGCATGGCTTCCAAGCTAGCTAAATGCCTCTGCTTTCTTTCTTTCTTTTTCTTTTTCTTTTTTTCAGAGGTTTTTGCTATAGGGCAAATATATATATACTGCTGGTCCTGAGCATTTTCCTTTTTCAAACAATGCTGCAAAGAATAGTCCTGTGTATAATTTGGGCACATGTAAGGATGCCCCTAAGACTCATTCTTTGAAGTGAAGTCTCTCTCTTTAAAAGTATATGAGCAATTTTGAATTTTTATCATTGTTTCCTTCCAAAGAGATTTACATCAATTACATAACTGCCTCTGGCTGATGAGGTTATCCACTCCCCCTCCCCCAACTTCCCCACACTGCGTATGATCAACACTACTCATGGATGTCGGTCTTACAGGAGAATTGGTGTTTCAGTAGTATTTTACTTTGTATTCTTCCTTTTAATAAACACGCATTTTATTCATTTGTATGCATTGGCTTCAGTGACCCCTTAGTACTGCTGTGGATCCTCACTGCAGCTAGCTTTCTCCCAGGAGAGCTGGGAATCTCAGCTCTGTACTCTACCACTTAACCACCTTTGTGGCTTTGGACAAGTTATCACTTTGCATTGTTTGTGCCCATGTTTCTCATCTGGAAAATTGTAATGTTAGATTTTTTTTTTGCAAATAAGGATCTCTTGATTAATATTGCTATATTAGTATCAGTAAAAAAAATTTTCCGAGCAACGAAACTTTAGTACAAGGACATGCTATTCATAGATTTCTAAATGTAGTAAAGATCAGACACTGGCAGTAATACCAGAGACATTCGATACATTTACAACTGGAATGCCTAGCAGAACGTAAGTACAATAATGTATAACGTAACAGCTCATACTTCGGCCAAAAAGGATGTGCTATAATTTTGCACAATATATATATATTTTTTTTTTTTTTTCCGAGAGGTTTTTGCTATAGGACGCTTGTGCTTGCCAGAAAGACAGAGAGAGAAAGGAGATAGGAAGTGAGAGCTCACCCCCAGGGGGAATGGCCACGCCGCAACCCCTTCTCCTTCATTCTCCTCTCGGATCTTGGGCATGCACGCACACACACCCGGCACACACGCACACACACCCGGCACACAAGCACACGCATCCGGTGTAAGTTTAAGCCACCGGGTCTGGGACTTGAACCGCAGTTGGCTACATGGGAATTCAGCGGCATAGCCATTACGCTAACTGCTGGTCCCTTGCACAATAAATATTTTTAAAAGACAAGAAAATTAAAAGAAATAATTGAAGTTTTTAGTTTACAACATCTGCTTTTATATTCTTTGGATAAATAATCTTGTAAAGATCTTTCTTTTTCTATTTATTTGTTAATATTTTTAAAAACTATTATTTACATTTAATTGTTATACAATATGGTTTTTCAAAGCATGCTTGCTGTGCATGACACCAGGTCAAAATATTAGCTTATATATAGTTTTCAATAAAGAACCTTGCATTTTTGTACAAAGTGGTTTCTTCCTGAGTCCCTCTTACCCTCTTCTCACTACCCACCCGTTTCCCATGTAATCTCTGATGTCTATATTTGTTCTTTCTACTATTATGTCTTTGAATCTTTCCATTTCTACCATGGAGTGCATGTTTGTATATACTGTGTAGGATTAGAGAGTGTCTTTTGTAGTCTGGTTTATTTCACTTAGCATGAACTTTTCTATATTCATCCACTTCACACTGAATGCCAGAGTATCACTGTTCTTTAAAACTGAGTAGTCTACCATAGTATATATATATGTGCCACATTTTCTCAGTTCAGTCATCAATTGTTGGATACTTGGATTGATTCCATGTCCTAGCTATTGTGAATGATGCTGCAATAAACATGGATGTACAAGGGTCTTTCTGACTGTTTTCCTGCCCTTTAGATAAATACCAATGAGTGGAATTACTGGGTTATAGACTGAGTTCTATTTGTAAATTTTTGAGGCCCTTTCATTGCATTTTCCGCAGTGGTTGTACTAATTTAAATTCCCACTAACAATACCGAAAGGTTCCCTTTTTACCACAGCCTCAACATCACATGTCACTCTTTGTTTTAGATTACAGCCATCCTAACTGGGGCTGAGTAAAACCTCACTGTAGTTTTGATTTGCATTATCCTTAGGATAAGAGATGTTTACAATTTTTTCTTTTATTTTTGTCTATTTTTATTCAAGAGTTTTCTGTTGAGCTCTTGGCATTTTCTTACTTGGATTGTTTGACTATTTTTTTCTTGGATTATTAATTTTTCTGTGAGTGAACAGCTTGAGTTCTCTACATAGTCTGGTTTTCATCCCCTTAACTGAGGCATAGTTGGCAAATATTTTCTCCAATTCTGTGGGTTGTCGCTTTATTCTATTTATTGTTTCCTTTACTTCACAGAAGATTTTCAGCTTGATATAATCCCCCTTGCCTATTTTTTGAATGTTGCTTGTGCTTTAAGGGGTCTTATTTAAAAAAATATTTGCCTACTCCACTGTCTTCAATGTTCTCCATGTGTTTCCAGAAGTAGTGTTATAGTTCTAGACTGTTCATTTAGATCTTTGATCCATTTTGAGTTGAATTTTTGTTATTGGTAAGAGATAGAGTTCCAGTTTCATTTTTCTTTTTTTTTTTCCTAAAAGAATGCTTTATTTCATTTCATTTTATTATTATTTTTTAAATTGACCAGAGAGAGACATAGAGATAGGGAAAGTGAGAAAGCAAGCTCCCAGGTTTGGGTTTTGAACCACGGTCGGCCATGTGAGAGTCCAGTGCCCTTAACCGCCATGCCACCTGCTGGCCCCCAGTTTCATTTTTCTGCAGGTGGATATTCAGTCCTTGCTCATAATTTGCTGGAAAGACTTTCTTTTCTCCACTAGATTGGTTTGTGCTCTTTGTCAAAAATTAGTTGGCTGTATGTTTTGGGGATTATTTCTGGAGTTTCTATTTTGTTCCATTGGTCTCTGTATCTGTTTTTGTGCCAGTCCCATACTGATTGATTTTCACAGCTTTTTTTAATATATTTTGGGGTTTCATAGTGAGATGCCTCCTACTTTATTATTTTTGCACAATATTTCTTGGGCAGTACAAGATCTTTTATAATTCCAGACAAGTTTTATGGTTGTCTTTTCTATTTCTGTGAAGAATGTCACTAGTAATTTGATCAGCATCATTAAATTTGTAAAATAATTTGGGTAGAATTAATATTTTAATGATACTGATTATTCTAATCCAAGAACTAAAATGCCTTCTCTTTATTTTCTTTTTCTTTTTTCTTTTTGGTATCATTTTCAATTTATTTTTTCAAATGATGACTGAGTTAAAAAATGTGGTGCATATATACAATATGGTACTACTCAGATTTAAAGCATAATGATACTCTGTCATTCACTATGAAATGGATGAATATAGAAAATATATCGATCCTTTACCTCTTTAGCTAGATTTATATATTGGTAGGTAAATTTTTGTGGCTATTGTAAATGAGGTTGCTCTTTGATTCCATCTTAGTCTAGTCATTCTTGGTGTATAAATATGCACCATATTTGAACAAAAATTTATAAAGTAAAATATTCAAACATATTTTTAAGGCAACAAATATAGAAAGCCAAAGTAAAATTTTTTTCATCGATGTTCACTTCTGAAGATGTTTGTTGCTTAATTTGATTCAGCTGGAATTTAATTTGCATTTGTCCACAAGCAGGTTCTTAGTGATTAATTTGCATATGTATATTTGGTGTGTGTGTTCTCCTGATCAATGTGGGGATATTTAGGAATAATTTGAATTGTTATCAAAATTCCTTGGTTATCAGAATGAGAGCTGATTTGTTAGAAAGTAAGTAAAGTTCTCTGCTCAAAGTGAGGTTTATGGTGATTCTCATGTATTACATGAACACCTTGAAGAACATATTGGGTTCTATAGAGATGTACAATGATTGAATGTAAATCATAAATAATAAAAATTTAAAAAAGAAGGCAAGTATGATCTGAAGGACTTGACACATGACAGTCCAACCTGAAGGTCAGTAGTTAATGATGAGTATCATAACCGGTGGCTCCAGTATGTGTGTGTGTGTGGGGGGGGGTGTGAGAGAAAGAGAGAGAGAATAAGAATTGTGGGAAAGACCAGCAGTTAGCGTAATGGCTATGTCACTGGACTCCCACGTAGTCTACTGCGGTTTGAGTTCCAGACCCAGTGGCTTAAAACTCACGCCAGGCGCATGTGTTTGCGTGCCCAAGACCCCAAGAGGAGAATGGAGGAGAAGGGATTGCAGCGTGGCCATCCCCCCTGGGGGGTGATTTCTCGCTTTCTATCTCTCTGTCTCTCTGTCTGTCTGGTGAACGCATGGTAAACCAGGCGCCGTATAGCAAAAACCACTCCCAAAAAAAAAAAAAAAAAATTGTGGGAAACCTTTTTTTCCTTAAGCTTATTCTATAGGGCATGTGCACTCACCAGAAACAGACAGACAGAGGGAGGGAGAGAGAGAAATCATACTCCAATGGGGATGGCTATGCCACAATCACTTCTTCTCTTGGGATTTTGGGCATGCACGCACAGGTGCTCCCTGTATTTTGCAAAGCATCAGGTCAGAGACTTGAACCATGGCATCGGCCATATGGGATCTAGCACCTTAACCACCACACCCGCTGCTGCCCCTACCTTACCTCCTTTTGATTATAGTGGCAACTGGGTTGGGAGTAAGTTGGGAGCCAAAATACACCTCTCAGGTGAGGAAGGGAAAATCAGGGAGAAACGGGGTCAGATCAATAGAGACGATGAAGATTTAAGGCTAATTTCTAAGAGAACTTGTCACACTCTATGTGGGCTCAGCGGAGTCCCAAGGCAAAATTGTGAAGCAAACAAAGTTCATGGTTGCCATTTCTCTTCTCAGCTTTTATTTAATTTCTACCTCTTCCTCTATCTCTGAGGCTCAGGAAGATGCGTTCGCTCCGAGGCTTACAATGAAGCGCAGGGATAGTCCACGTGATGCAGGCATGACTCCAAATGCAGAGCTCTCCCGCCAACATTTTGAATTATCTTACATAAATTCTTTGTCTCCGTGTTCATCTCACCCTCCTCGGGCTCAGTTCAGCATAAATGGTAAGCATTTAATTATTAAAAATAAACTGAATGTATGAAAAAGTAACTGAATAAAGAAAGGAGAAACCACACTCTCAAATCACTAGGCATAAATTGCTATCCATCTCTTATTAATGCATTTAAAATGGTAAAAATTTCCATGTGCAACTGGAATGTAAATAATGAGCCCAAAATAGTCTTGGAATTACATTTAAGAAGTATCATATATGAACAAATCAACATAAAGAATAGTGCTTCCTGACGTGGAGGCTTTAATTAGCAAGACGGTGTAGCTGCTTTTACATGTGTTTGAGTGTTTCTCTGTGTGATAGGTTAAAGGTTAATGAGGTCAGTGGCTATTTGGAATGCTCGATGGGAGCCTTTCCTTAATTCACACTAATGCCACAGTGGTCCAAAGCGACATCAAAGAGGTCACCGAATCCCTGTGCCACAGCACAGACGCGGGCATCGTGTAGAAAGAAGAAACGCGTTTCCTATAAAAGTGACCAGTTAGATAACAACATTCTTATCTCAGGAGAATCACATTCCCAGATGGTTTCGCAATGGTTGGAAATCGGTTGTTTGTTAAATGAACCAAAACTGTCACCTTGTCACTAGAAAACAAATTGCCAGTGAGGTGTATGGGCAAGTCTTCATTAAGTGACTTCCAGAAAGGAGGGAGGTGACACCACAGGGTAGCTATTTATATAGTAAAGATAAATATTCAGGGGATTTGAGAAAATAAATCATGTTAGTTCTAACTTTGTTTTTTATTCCTGATCCAGAAGACAGTAATGTTTCTGGGTCTGGCATCCCATCCTCCATTGTTCTCCTTGCAATATACCCTCCTCCAGAATGTTGGAGAGGCGAGGAGGGCAGAAGTGATCATGGTGCATGCTTTCCGACCCTTCAGGAAAGTACATCTTTTTTTTTTTTTTTTTGAGGGGATTTTTTTTTTTCTATAGGGCACATACCCTCGCCAGACA